AGCAGTAGCTGGCCAACCTTTACCCTGGAAGCAAAATAAAATTTTTTAAAATATATTTTACTGATTTTTACAGAGAGGAAGGGAGAGGGATAGAGAGTCAGAAACATCAATGAGAGAGAAACATTGATCAGCGGCCTCCTGCACACCTCCTCACTGGGGATGTGCCCGCAACCAAGGTACATGCCCTTGACCGGATTCAAACCTGGGACCTTTCAGTCCGCAGGCTGATGCTCTATCCACTGAGCCAAACTGGTTAGGGCAGCAAAAGAAATTTGTAGCAATATTTTCTTGAAATGAAGACCTTTCAAGATGAACACATAATACTTTCAGGGTGTGTTAATTATTTTTAAAGCAGGTAAAGTAATAATCACTTAAAAAAATAACTTCTAGCTATTTGCTTCTGAAATATGGGAATTTCCTTTTTTGTGTGTGACTCCAGGCATATATTGCAACAGACATTTTTGTTCTGGTTTATTTGTGTTTTGTGAGTATTAAGAATAGCCTAGTCTTTCACATTACAGACACTGCAAATCTCAGCACTGTGATTTCCGTGAAGCTGAATCATGCCAAAGTACATAGAATAAGTCAACCACTTATTTATATTTCACCTCTCTTCTGTCCATTTAGGCAGGCAATAAACAGTCAGCATTTGTTACGTGTGAGGCAGTCATGGGCACTAGAAATACAAAGTAAGACATGGCCCTATCCCGAAAGGGCTTCCAATCTGGTAGAGAGAACTTGATAAGCATAAATAAATGGACAGATAAGAAAAGCAATGAATCTCCCTGCTTTTTAAAAAAATCTTTATTGTTCAGGTTATTACAGATGTCCTCTTTTTTCCCCCCATAGCTCCCCTCCACCCGGTTCCCACCACACCCCAGGCCCTTGCCACCCCACTGTCCTCGTCCATAGGTATTGCATACATGCATATAAGATCTTTGTCCCATCTCTTCCCACACCCCCCCACATTTCCTTCCCCCCTAGAATTGTCAGTCCGCACCATTTCCATGCCCCTGATTCTATTATATTCACCAGTTTATTCTGTTCATCAGATTTTTTATTCATTTGATTTTTAGATTCATTTGTTGATAGGCATGTATTTATTGTCACTTTGTTGTTCATAATTTTTTATCTTTACCTTTTTCTTCTTCCTCCTCTTCTTAAGGAATACCCTTCAGCATTTCATATAATACTGATTTGGTGGTGATGAACTCCTTTAGCTTTTTCTTGTCTGTGAAGCTCTTTATCTGCCCTTCAATTCTAAATAATAGCTTTGCTGGGTAGAGTAATCTTGGTTGTAGGTTCTTGTTATTCATCACTTTGAATATTTCTTGCCACTCTCTTCTGGCCTGCATAGTTTCTGTTGAGAAATAAGCTGATAGTCGTATGGGTACTCCCTTGTAGGTAACTAACTGTTTTTCTCTTGCTGCTTTTAAGATTCCCTCTTTGTCTTTTGCCCTTGGCATTTTAATTATGATGTGTCTTGGTGTGGTCCTCTTTGGATTCCTCTTGTTTGGGGTTCTCTGCGCTTCCAGGGCTTGTAAGCCTATTTCTTTTACCAGGTAGGGGGAGTTTTCTGTCATTATTTCTTCAAATAGGTTTTCAATATCTTGCTTTCTCTTTTCTTCTGGCACCCCCATAATTCGGATGTTGGTACACTTGAAGTTGTCCCAGAGGCTCCTTACACTATCTTTATATTTTTGAATTATTTTCTCTTTTTGCTCTTCTGGTTGGGTGTTTTCTGCTTCCTTGTATTTCAAGTCTTTGACTTGATTTGGGATTCTCTACTCTACTGTTGAATCTCTGTGTATTATTCTTTATTTCAATCAGTGTATGCTTAATTTCTGACTGATCCTTTTCCATTTTATTGGCATTCTCACTAAGATCCTTGAAGGTCTCAGTAAGTTCCTCAAAGGTCTCACTAAGTTTCTCGGAGCTTTCTAGAAGATTCTTGAGTAACCTTACTGAAAGGGCGAGTAGTCGCAGGGCCTGACCACGCTGCTGGTGGCCTCGGGCACCGACTCCCCAGCCCATGGCGGGAGCCCGGCGCAGGCTGCCACCCGCCCGCCGCCCCCGGCGGCGGCGGCGGCAGCAGCGGCGGCAGGGCGGGGCGTGTGCCCTCGCCCGAGCAGATGGAGGAGGAGGCGATCGCCAGCGCCCCCGGGAACGAGACGGAGGACGTGGACTTCCTGTCTGGGCTGGAACTGGTCGATCTGCTGGATCCCCAGCAACCGGACTGGCCCCTGGAGCCTGGACTCAGCTTGCCCTTGGGGGGGCGAGGACTGCGCCCTCCATCTTGCCCTGGGTCCTCCATTTTTGGGGCGGCCACCATGTGCTCAGGAGAGTGCCTTCTTCCCGGAAGCCCAGGCCCCTGCTGGCCACGCCCAGGATTTCTTTAAACTAACCAATGACAACCAAGGGACGTGCACGCCAGAGAGATGACCACATCCTGTGTAACAAGACCCGACTCGCGCCTGGCCAATTGGCGGGGCCCACAGTCCCCTCCCCTGCCCTTACTATAAAACCCACAATCCCATCAGGCCTCGCTCTCTCTCGGCCACTGGAGCTTACCGTTGCATCGGTGAGTGTGGCAGGGGAGCCAAACCTAGGTTTGAAATGAATGACTCTTTGCTTTTGCATCGGACTGATGGGCTCCCTGTGGGGGTTCTTGGGAATCTTGAAATCTGGGCACAACACTTACAACTGTGGTTTTGAACTCTCTATCCAGTAGTTTGCTTTCTTCCATTTCTTTCATTTGTGACACGCTTCTTTGTCTCCGCATTTTGGCTGCTTCCCTGTGTTTGTTTACCTCCAGGCCAGTTGGCTGTGAGGACCAGCTGTGTCTACAGTGGAAGCGCTACGTGCAGGAGACACCCTTATGGGGCAGGACTTGCTTCAGTGGGGCTTTGGTGCTCACTGAGTCTGCCCCTTGAGTGTGTCACTTATGGGTGTGAAGAGTTGTAATCTGGAATGGTCTCACACTGACCACTGGGTACACTGGCTCTTGGATCTCCAAGGAGATGCAAAGTCAGCCACTGTCTGGGGCCACCCAGCAGGAGCTACAGAGAGATCTGCAGATTCCTCCTCTTTGCATGGGGTTTGGAAGTGCCCAGATGAGGCCCAGCTGTGAAGCAAGGCAGGGTGCGGCAGTGCTGGCCTTTGCCTTCTTTTGATAGCTTTGGGGCTCTCTGACCCAGCTGCAGTTTGACAGGTTTTAGGCTGAGAAAGGACAGGCCATTCATATGCAAAAGCCACTGGCACAGCTTGGGTGGGGTTGTAAATTGGGTGGGGTCTCAGGGAGTCTCCAGGGCAGAGCAAACAGCAAGGGTTGCCAGTCGGTCCTGCACTGGAGAGGTCCGACAACTGCTGCGTGCACCTCTGCCTGGAAGAAAGCTGCCCCCATGTTCCTGCCCTGATGCCAGACAATCCAGCTTCTTCCCGTATGTGTCTAGGTTTCCCAAAGTCTCACCTGGCACTGGAGCTCAGAGCACATGGGTGCTTGTATCTCCCTCCTAATTAAAAAGTGGCACACCCAGGTGCCAGCCGCTTCCGCACTTCTGCACCTCCTCGCCGTCGCACCGCCTTCCAATTTCAATGCTCTTTCTTCTTTATTTTTCTAGTTGTAGTTCTTCCACTCAGCCAGGTTTCCTGCGGTCCTGAATGTTAGTTGTTATGTATTTTAGTTGTAATTTTGATATGGTTATGGGAGGCAGCAAGTACAGGTGTTTACCTATGCAGCCATCTTGGTTCTCCATTGAATCTCCCTGCTCTTAGGCAAGTTGTGCAGAAAGATAAAGCCAGTATAGAACGTTCCAAGCAGAGGAATTAGCATGTGGGAACCCATGAAGCTGTGAAACAGTATGGGAGAAATATAGGGAATTCAGGTTTTGTGGGAGAAGGCAGAATGACAGAGATCAGGTTAGAGAAGGTGGTTGCAGTGAGATTATAATGGACCTTGTTTAACCCACATGAAAGTCCTAGGTGATGAGTTCCAAAGGATCTCAAATAAGGGTAGAAGATAATCAGGTTTGTAGTTTACAAAGGTTATTCTCTGGCAGTGTAGTGGTTTGAGCCATCAGAGGCCAGGTGAGCAGTTAAAATGCTGCTAAACAGTCCAGGAAAGAAGTGAGGGCCAAGGTGAAAACTCTACAGGAGGGGATGGAGAAAGTGAATTGAGGTCATTCAGTAGGCAGAATTAAGAGGACTTAATGACCAATAGAATGGGATGGCAGTGAAGGATGACCTCAGAGTTTCTGATTAGGTTTTCTGGCTGGGTGATAGCACCATTCCTGAGAAAGTAGAGGAAGAGGGGCACATCTAGGAACAGATGCTAGATGATCAAGTGCTGTGTAAATATAGGGGATTATTGAGAAAAAGCTTTCTGACTTGATTCCACAGCACACATCCATGCATTAGGCCTCGTGTGGACTTGGAGGTACAGATAAGATCCTGATGAGTTGGTTTTGGACATTCTTGATCTGGGAAGCTTGTGTCCCATCTGAGTAGAAATGTCCAGAAATCATAGGGTGAGTGAGTTGGTAGCTCAGGAGAGAGTTCTGGGCTGGAGTTGTATATATCTGGAAGTCACTGGGCATGAGTGACCCCAGTCAGGGAGAGCAAGGCACAGAAAGAGATTGAGTTTGGGAACTGAGATCGGGGAGACCAGCTCTGGATGGGAATGGAAAGGGGGAGCTTCTGAAAGTTTGATTAGCAGAATTACAGATATAATCTTCACTCTATTCAATGAATTGCTAGGTGAGATCATGAAAAACTCCTTCCCTTGTTGTTGGGAGATATATATATATTTTTTACTTGAAAGGCCAAGTAGAATAACTTAGAACCTACTGTCTTTGGGAAATTAAGATAAAGGTGACCTGAAATTTGAAGTACATGAAAACATGTTTTCCAGGCAGGAGTGGCTGAGGTTAGGAACATGCTTATGTTGTGCACATTCATTTCATAGCATTGAGATAAGGCTTAAGATTGCTTCTGTGTTTCAGGTAATCCAGAGGTCCGTGGGGCCAGCCAGTCTGAGTCTGCTCACCTTCAAAGTCTATGCATCACAGAAAAAGGACTCAACTCAAAAAGCTTCTGTGAACATTAGTGAGGTAACATGCTGTTCATGTTGTGATCTATTTTGAGCATCTGATTTACTGACCATAGGAAGTATACAAATTGTGTATCCGGAAGATACAACATTTTAGAGGATATTTAATAGGAGAAAATACATTTCCTTATAGTTTATTATTCTTTGTGAAGTAACCTGGCTTTTTCAACAGATAAATTTTAATTAATGGTACTTAGCGTAGGGCATAATATTTACTAATTTTTTAGTGGGGAATCTGCTGTGTCCCAGTAGATTGTAAGCACAGTTTGCTTCTAAATGACCTGCCCAATTCCAGACTGCTTATCATGTCAAGAAAATATTTTTCTTTTTCATCTCTAAAAAAAGAAAAAAGAAATTAAAGACCTGGCCTCATTCTGCTTCTTGGCCAGATTAGAAGCTCATAAATAGATGCTTAATGAATACTAAAGAAATAAAACAAGAAATCTCTCCATTTACATCCTTTTTTGTCTGTACTTGCCACTGATTATTTTGGATATTTGGTTTCTGTTGACAGTGAGTAAAGTGGCATAAACATCTACCTTCAGATGTGAGCAGGGTTACTTAAATGTGTTTACATAAAACTGAATAGTTTATCTCTTACCCTTTACTATCTTCTTCTCAGGCCTTGGGGCAGTGGAATTTTTGAGGGTGAGGAAGGCTGCCAGTAGTGGCTATAAAAAGTTTATTCTTTGGGTGGGGAACAAACCTGCTATCCTCCTTTGATTAGCACCAGACTGATCATTTGAACTAAGTAACATGCTCTTTAGTTATGCTGGAACTTTTTTCTACTCCCCTCCAGTCTACCCTTTAGAGCAGCGGTTCTCAACCTGTGGGTCGCGACCCCTTTGGCGGTCGAATGACCCTTTCACAGGGGTCACCTTAGACCAGCCGTGGGCAAACTATAGCCCGCGGGCCGGATCCGGCCTGTTTGAAATGAATAAAACTAAAAAAAAAAAAAAGACCGTACCCTTTTATGTAATGATGTTTACTTTGAATTTATATTAGTTCACACAAATACTCCATCCATGCTTTTGTTCCGGCCCTCCGGTCCAGTTTAAGAACCCATTGTGGCCCTCGAGTCAAAAAGTTTGCCCACCCCTGCTAGACCATCCTGCATATCAGATATTTACATTACAATTCATAACAGTAGCAACATGACAGTTATAAAGTAGCAACAAAAATAATTTTATGGTTGGGTCACAACATGAAGAACTGTATTTAAAGGGCCAGAAGGTTGAGAACCACTGCTTTAGAGCAAGCATGTCAAACTCACAGCCAGTGGACCTCATGCCTCGTTTAAATGAGTTTGACCTGCTTGATTTAGAGTAATATTCTTTTTTAAAATGTTTTTTTAAATTGATTTCAGAGAGAAGGGAGAGGAAGAGAGGTATAGAAACACCAATGATGAGAGAGAATCATTGACCGGCTGCCTCCTGCACACCTCACACTGAGGATTGAGCCCGCAACTGGGCATATGCCCTGACTGGGAATCGAACTGTGACCTCCTGGTTCATAGGTCGATGCTCAACCCCTGAGCCATGCCGGCTGGGCTAGAGTAATACTATTCTTTTCCCAAACTAAATCTAAGGTGGAACACCAAATTTCAATATATAAAACAGATAAAGGGGAGCTACTTTGTCTGCTACCAGTAATGGGGGGAGGACAGTAAAACACCTCATAGCCCTTGCTCTCTTGGCCTTGGCCTTATTGATTAAGGAAGTAAGGTGCAGAGATCCTGTGAAGCAAGGTTTAGGGCGCAGTTTATGAATTATTAGAAATACAGTGCCTACAAATCTGATCATTGATTATGTTATCTCATTGCTGTATAGACATTTTTATTTCTTTTTGTTCTGTTTTGTAATGTATGCAGCTTTCACTCTACTCTGTTCCCGAAGTTCAGTCTAAATATGTGGAGGAGCCAAGGACTCAACTTGAAGAGAGCATCTCACATCTCCGACAGTATTGCAAGCCATATACAAGTTGGTGTCAGGTACAGCTCTTCTGAAAATGGAGTGAACACATTTCTGTTTAGAGTCAGTAGTGAGAAGTCTGAATCAGCTGCATGTTTTCAGAAAAAGGCACGATAAAGGGTCTCAAGTTAAGAGTGCACAACTTACAAATGTTCATCAGTGCCATCTCGGGTCGGGGTGGGGGGAGCAGAGAGCTTCCTGGTGGTGCAATGGCCATAGCTGCACAGAGAATTTCCTTCCCACTGGGCAGGAGTGGAGGGCTGGTGAGTATCTTGGTCACAGCTATGAAAACACTATTGTCTACAGGGAGAGGATATGAAGTTGGAACTCTGAGGAAGGAAAAGAATACAATATAATGATTTTATGTCAAAATTGGGAAGTCCCCCCTAGAGATTCTACAAATCACAACTTTAAACAGTAATGGTTACAGAACATTTTGAATGCTATAATAGGAGGGTAAATAACTAACAAAGGGTAGAATTACATATTGAGTACTGAACTATTTGCCCCAATAATCCAACAACTACTGTACAAATTGGCTTCTACCACTGCTCAGGTTTTAGATCAGGCATTTGTCATTATGTTCACGAAGGCATTTCTGTGATGTTTAACATCTAAAATTGAAATTTACAGTCTACAGAATGCTTTTGTGGGCTTTGATACATATATTTGCTATACTTGATCTTGATTTTGAAAATTGATGGAAAATTAATAAGAAGCATGTAGATATGTGTCACCTGGTCTAGATTTACGTTGCTTGAGACTTACAAACTCAATTTTTATCCAGAACTTACTTAAAAATTTTAAATTTTCACTGTCTATATCAGCGCTGAACCAATTTAGAAAGAAAATAGTAAGCACAGACTCTATCAACAATATAATTAGGCCATTATACTTAAGTATCATAACCATATTATTGTTATGAAATACCTAAAGACTATATATGAGTTGTAAAACACTTAGACTTTATTCTCTTGTTCTAGAATATTTTTAAACCATCGGCTAGTGGTTAAGATAAGGTCAGCAAAGTTGTGCAAATATTTTTGTATTTGCATAGCTGCTGTTATTTCTCTCCTTTTTTTGGTTATGAAAATACTTTGTGTCTTGCTTTCAATCTAAGGTTGCTTTTTACTTTTTCATCTGTATATGATACTCAGTGCAGGAAAATACCTCTGTAGATGATAGAATAGTTATCAACATGTTTATTTGCACTAAATAATTTTTGTGATTATAATCATCTTATTTTCCTATAGAATAAAGTCTTTAGGAAAATAAGATGATTATAACCACAAATTAATTTATGGCTCCTTTTTTCAGGCCAAGAATTTTTAGCCCCTTTCTTCAAGAACTAATTTAATTTTTCTTCATAGTGAAAAGATTATGCCAGCAAAAAACATGGGCAGTCACTCTAGACATTGATCTGTAGCTTTGCTTTTTTTTAATGGGCAGCAAAAATCAATAAGTTTTAATGAAGTGATAATCAGTTTTTAAATGTTTTTTATGTCCCCCTTCAAATTTAGCATTTATTATTTAAGTCCATTTAACAGTATTAGGATAACTTGTTTTGATTTGAACTAAATTATATAAAACAAATCCTTTTCCAAGTGACAACTGGTTCTGATACCTTCTGATACCTGCAGATCTCTTTTCCTTTCTTCACTGGTAGACTTCTTGAAGGTGGGTACCTTCTAGGTAGTCTCTTGTTCTCTTTAGGATCATTTGATAGTCATGTCCAAAGCCTTTTTACTGTCATTGTTAAGGGAATGATAACACTTCATTTGCTTTGGGACTAGGGTAAATATCTCTTCAAACTTAGATACAGACTCCTTTGTCCCAGTAAAGCTAGTCATTCCTTCTTCAAATGGGCAGTTTTTTAGACATAGGCTTTAAAATCATGGCAACTCAGGAATTAGAATATGAAAGGACATATTTAATTTCACATGGAAAGGATTAATTATTGAGGGTATTGATTTTTGTCCATTCTCCTCAATTTTAACAGAGAATGAAAAGGCTGGGTTGTTGAAACCACTCTACTTGAAATCTTTGTTTCCTGTGGCAATCATAAGCCATTCTGCTGAACAATTTGTGGTAAAGGGGAAATTACAAAAGAAAAAAACACAAAAAACCCAGATAGACACTATATTTGTTTGAAGAGTGTTGATAATATGATAATTTATTCAGTAAGGGCAAATATATTTATTGTTACTTTATAATCAATAAATTCTACTCATTCATTTTCTTTTCACCCTTTTAGGAAATGTATTCCCAAACTGAGCCCAAGATGCAAAGTTTGGTTCAGTGGGGGTTAGGTAAGTTTATTTTTAATGAGATATAATCAGTTTCTTCATTAAAATTGGACCCTTTAACCAGGGTTCCATGGATGGCTCCAGGAAATGTGTGAATTACTTAAAATTGTATGCAGAATTTTAGAGAGCTATGTAGGTTTTTCTGGAAAGATGATTTATTATTTTCATCAGATTTCAGAGGATTTGTGTACCCACACACTCAGGTAAGTCTCTTCAAGATCATTAGGATTGTTGGGTTAGCAAATGCAGATAGATATACTGGATTTTTTTTCTTTAAATCTATTCCTGGTACAATGTCCTTAACTCGCACTAATCCACACTGACTCATCAATAGGTTTTCAGAATCAGGAGAGCTCTTTTGCATAGCTATTAATACATTTTATAGAAGTTTAAATGCAGGAAGGAAATGGGTTGGTGTGCCTCAGAAAGGCCTTATTGCATAATTAGTAGTGTTTTTGTATTTTTTTTATTGGTTCTTATTTTTTTCAAATTATAAAAGAAAGTTTATTTAAGAAATCACAGAAAGGTGAGCCAGCTGGGCTGTGTGGGCTCAGGAAACGAGTTACGGAGGCAAAAGAAGTGCCCTAGAAAGGTCCTTGGAGCTGAGGGGAAAGGGAAAAGTAATGCACCTGGGAAAGGAGAGGAGGGAAAGGTTCGGTCATGCTCCAGACAGAGAGAGACAGAGACAGAGAGAAAGAGTGTGTCTTCATTGTATTTTTAATTGTTGACAGTATTACAGATGTCCTCCATTTCCCCCTTCCCCTTTGCCCACCTCCTTCATTGTTTTTTTATTGTTCTTGATTGTTTTTCACAAGCACTTATCACATAGACGTATAAACTGGGTTCACCGTCTATGTTTTGACTAATCTCAGCCAGGAACTGGTAATATATTTCATTCCTCATATTGGACATCTTGGCAAATCAAACTCTTATTTTTACAAGTGCTTGTTTCCATGACAGAATAAAATAAAATGAGTATAGTTTATTTCTTGTGAAGATCATTATAGAGTGTTGATGTGCTGATAACCCTTAAACTACCAGATAAATAATTTTTCATTTGAAGACAGACATATTAATAGCCTACCGGTTCTTTAAATTATTCATGTATGTTCATAAGTAACATCTTAATTTTATTAATTTTATAAACACTTATTTAGTGCTTATTATGTACCAGGAACTAGTCTCAGTACTTTAAAAATATTAATTCATGGCCCTGGCCGGGTGGCTCAGTTGGTTGGAGCATTGTCCCATGCACCAAAAGGTTGTGGGTTCAATCCCCGGTCATGGCATGTACAGGAGGTAACTGATCGATGTTTCTCACATCCATGTTTCTCTCTCTGTCCCTCCCTATCTCCCAGCCTCCCTTTCTCCCCCTTCCACTCTCTAAAATCAATAAAAACATATCCTCGGGCGAGGATAAAACAATATATTAATTTATGTATAATCCTCATCACAGCCTTGACAGGTACTTTATTACCTTCTCTTTTTTTGAGGAAGGAAGAGAGGGAGGGATGGAAGGAGGAGAGAGAGAGAGAGAGAGAGAGAGAGAGAGAGAGAGAGAGAGAGAGAGAGAGAGGGAGAGAGAGAGAGAGAGAGAGAAAGAGAAAGAACGAGAACATTGATGTGAGAGAGAAAGATCAATTAGTTGCCTCCCATATGCACCCAAACTGGGGATTGAAGAACCTGGATATGTGCCTCGATCAGGAATCAAACCCACCACCTTTCAGTGTATGGGATGACGCTTCAACCAACTGTGCCACACTGGCCAGGGCTATTACCTTCATTTTTTTAAACCTAAGGAAACTAAAGAACTCCTGATCTTTTATCTGGATGTGTGTGACTGGACATGTGTCATTGTTACCTGTTATTTCCCATTGATTCAGAACAGTAGTCATTATTTGCAACATGTAGTTTTTTCTTCTCTTGAACTCATAGTTCAAGAATAAAGGTTCTTAAGAAATACTCCATTATGAGTTGTGTTGTTGTCTGCCAAGGCAATTAGTCCATTCCCCAGCACTCATAGCCAAGTCATGTTACCAGAAGCTAGGCTTCAGCTTCAGTGCAGTCCTATAGTGTCTCTTCTTTCCCATTTCTTTGTGATTTACCCCCTTCAGCTCAGCTCACCAAAGCCATCTGGTTGTCCTTCTGTCATCTGCTCTGTGTAAAATTGAAAACACCATGCTGATAGGCAGAAAATAAATGGAAGTAGAAAATTGTCTCAAATGACCCACGCAAAAAGATGGAAACTTAAAACTAGGTTAAAAGCAAAGTAAGCAAAAGGCCAGACAGGAATTAGTACCAACAACACAAGCCCTATAGCAGTATTTAAAATGACCACATTTCCCAAAGAACCCAGGAAACGGAAAACTAGGATGTGTCTGGTATTCTCTGGGGGAGAGAATTACTGAGTACTCCAGTTCGTTCAGTTCCGCATACGTCACCATAATGTCAAGCATTGAAGATCAAGGCTGATTAAGACAGTGGTCCAACCACTGCTGCGTATAATAAATCATTCAATATTAGTGCAAACACAGAGGTGGTCACAGACCACTGTAGAAGGTACAGAGGAAGGAGCCTGGTTTAATAGAGATTGGGGAGCTGGAAGCAGACAGGGAAGGATCTCTGTGATTAATCTTGAAGAAACCGAGGTAGCCACACCAAAACATGGGGGTAAGACTTGGGCAGCATTCCACACAGCAGGCACGGCACCATCAAGGCTTGGATGTATGACTCAGTGTTGCGTGTGCCGGGAACTGGAAGCAGATAGAGAGTGCTGAAGATGAGGTCGAGAAAGAGATGTGAAGGCTTTTTAAGTCATGACCCAGCTAAAAGCTATTTGTTAATTTCATGCATTATTCATCAATGCCTGGCAGTGTTTTTAATAAATTATCTGTTGTACGAACATTCACTGTTACCACTGAGGAAAGTCACATAGAAGTCTGAGCAGTGCACCATTAAGGATTGTATGTTCTTGTGGAGACATAAAATACACCCCTGATTGATTAAACACAAGGTAGAAGTAGTATCAAATTATGGTACAGAGAATAAATATGAGACTTTAGAGGAGGAAGAGAGGTGTGGGCCGTTGAGCATAGGAAAGGCTTTTCTGTGTGATTAGGACTTAAGCTGGCTGTTATTTGATGGGATTGGGAGAGGAGATGTGGCATCATGCAAGTATAAGGCATGTTCAGACGTGGCAGATAGGCCTACGTGTTGCCTTTATTTTTATTTATTTTATCACTATCAATAGTGACTATTTGCCACATATACTTGTGCTACAAGTTTCCTTCATTATCCAAATTTATTCTCTTCTTGAGTTCGAATAATTTCAGATAGCAAAGTATGCTTTTCCCCCTGAGCCTAATGTTTTTAGTTCCTTAGTCTCAGAGAGCAGGCAGCAAAGCTTCAGAGAGTGATAAATTTATCCAAATCTATAGGCTTACCCCATTTTCTTGTGCTTTACTTTATTGCATTTTTTTTTTTTTTTTTTTACAAATTGAAGATTTGTGGCAACCCTGCTTAGAGCAGGTCTATCGGTGCCATTTTTCCAACAGACTTTAGATGATGGTTAGCATTTATTAAGCAATAAAGTATGTTGTAATTAAGGTATGTACATTATTCCTTTAAACCTAATGCTACTGCACACTTAATAGACTGCACTACAGTATAAACATAACTTTCATAGGCACTGGGAAACCAAAAAATCATGTGGTTTGCTTTATTGTGGTGGTCTGAAACCAAACTTTTTTTTTTTTTTAAAGAGTTCTTAGATTTTAGATGAACAAATGGTTTGATGAAAATCTTTAGTTATTTTTTAAAATATTTTTATTGATTGCAAAGAGGAAGGGAGAGGGAGAGATAGAAACATTAATGATGAGAATCGTTGATCAGCTGCCTCCTGCATGCTCCCTACTGGGGATCGAGCCTGAAAACCCCGACATGTGCCCTGACCTGGAATCTCCTGGATCACAGGTCAATGTTCAACCACTGAGCCACAACTGGCCGGGATGAAACCAAACTTTTTATATCTCTAAGGTATTGTGTTTGGATGACAAGAGTTTGGATAGCAAGGATCTCTATTTGTATTTCTCCTCGTGTGAATAGTTGATTCTGGTCTGTAGCCTTTAGGAATATGAAGGTAATCTGACATTACTGTCAGTAGGTTGTCAGACCAAAAGTGTTTGGAAATTGGATACTTGGTATGTGAATAGTAAATCATAAGGCATGTTTTGGCATGGCAGATAGGCCTATATGTTGCCTTTATTTCATGTTTATCATATAAAAAGAATGTGTTGAAAAGAAGCATATTAGCAGAAAGCCAAGAATACATTATTTAAAAAGCATCTGATACTATATATACTAGTTATATTTAAGATATTTTGGTTTGTTTTTTAATGGGCAATTTATGGAACTGTTTCCTGGTCTGATTCTGTTGTAGACAGCTATGAATTTCTCCAAAATGCTCCTCCTGGTTTTTTTCCAAGACTTGGCGTTATTGGTTTTGCTGGCATTGTTGGACTCCTTTTGGCTAGAGGTAGGTACAATTTTGTGAGTTAAAAAAAAACACCAGTTCATAAGGGAGAGAGAAGATACATATTTGGTTCTTTTCATTTACCAGTTTTTAGAATGAGTTCGATCCTGGGTATGGCCTTCTTAATATATAATTGATATAGTTGTTTTCTCCAATATATTTGATTTTAAGCATATATAGAAATTGTAAAAAACCAAACAAAACAAAACCTTGAAAAGTTATATATTCTTGGTTGAAAAAAAATTAGTTATCCTTTATAGGCACATTTACTTGATCAAGTTACTATTGCTCTTGGTACAGAAAGAGTGAAGTTTTGTTAACCAAAGTCTGTCATACCTGAGACGCTGTTTTTAAATTTTCCACTCTTAAGAATAGGCTATTAATCACAGTAAATAGAACAGTGATTTCATAGAAATTTTTTAAATTTTTTGATTTATAAATTTTTTGTAGCTTTAGTCCTTGAGCATATAAAATTTTTTAAACACTTAAAAGTAAAAGCTAACAAATGCCAACGTAAAAATATTACTACACTACACTGATGGACTATAAAACATTTATAGAAAACCAAGGATGAAAACATCGTTCACTATAATGAAATGAATTTGTTATGCACTACTTGATGATTCACTGATTGTGAAATCCAGATTTTACATAATGTCCTAAAATAGAAAGTTTATGAACTCTGTAATCAAATCCCCATAAAAGGTAACTATAGACACTATAGTTTGGTATCCATTCCTCCACTTTTAACAATCTTCGCTGTACATGCCTTAACGGTAATATTAGAATCTGGAGAAACGCAGCACTGGTGCCACTCCCCCAACCTGTGAAATGAACTCTTGTTGGAGTTTCTGCGCCATCTTCCCATCTATATCAGAATTAAATTTAGAGCCCTGACTCAGTTGGTTGAGCACTAAACGTCCCATGCACTAAAAGGTCAAGGGTTTGATTCCCAGTCAGGGACATACCTGGGTTTCGGGTTCAATTCCCAGTCTGGCTGGGTGTGTATAGGAGGCAACTGATCGTTGTTTCTCTCTCTCTCTCTCTCTCTCTCTCTCTCTCTCTCTCTCTCTCTCTCTCTCCCTCACCCCCCTTCCTTTCTCTAAAATCAATAAAAAGCATTTCCTTGGGTGAGGATTTAAAAATACACACACACACATAAAACCAATAAACAGCCTTTATATGTTATCCTGTGTAAGTATTAATAATAAACATCGCACTAGCATCTATATGCATCCCATGTAAAAACACGTGTCTCTCAGTGGAGACTATTTCTCATGTCAAGTCAATTTCAAGTGTATTTCCCTGTTTCACCCTCTACATGTTTTCTTAACCTCATTCTCAGGTTTTTCCCAGCTCTCCATCCTGCTCAATTCCCCTTTTCCCCAGGCTGCAATCCTCTCAGTCTGGACTGACATTCAGCACAGCTGTTTTCTTGGGACACGGCTCCACACTCTGTTGGGTGTGACCCCCTTTTCCGGTTCCATGTCATCATCTCCTTGGTTTGCTCTGCCATGCTGTTGAACTACATGCTTAAGTCACTTTCAAAAAAGCCTATGTTGGAGGTAAACTTTCCAAGTCCTTGCAGGTCTGAAAATTGCGTTCTGCCCTCATACCAAATGATAGTGTGGTTGGGCATAGAGTTTGTTTTCCATCAACGCTTTGAAGGCCACGTATTCTAGCTCAGGAGTTGCAGATGTGAGAGTCAGAAGCCAGGCTGGAAGCTTGTTCCTTTTGAAGTAATTCCTTTTTTTTTTCTTTTTATGGAAGCTTTGAGGAGCTTCTCTAATCTGCAGTGCTCTGAATTTCCATGGTGCTGTGACTACATATAGTTGTTTCATTCCTGGTTAGGCATTTTGGTGGCTTGCAGTCTTCAGCTGCAAAAAGGCATCTATCTACTAGTATCTTGTATTTCTTTGAAAATTTACTCTTATCTTTTTCCTTCCCGGACTCATATGCATTAGTAATTAAGTTGTTTAAACTAGCCCTGTATATATTCTTATTTTATTTTATTCCTTTTGATTTTTTTTACTTGGCCATTTGCAAGACCTCTTTCTTGTTCTCTGAATGTTCCTTTTTCTTAGAACTTTTTTATAGTAGCTTCTTTTTTTTTAAATATATTTTATTGATTTTTTACAGAGAGGAAGGGAGAGAGATAGAGAGTTAGAAACATCGATGAGAGAGAAACATTGATCAGCTGCCTCCCGCACATCTCCCACTGGGGATGTGCCCACAACCCAGGTACATGCCCTTGACCGGAATCGAACCTGGGACCCTTCAGTCCGCAAGCCGACGCTCTATCCACCGAGCCAAACCGGTTTCGGCTATAGTAGCTTCTTGAATTTATTTGATGATACTTAATTATAGGTTTAGTTTTGTTTTTAATTTCTTGTTTCCTATAGGGTCATTTTTTCCTTGCTTATCTCAGTTTTCTCTTTTACATTGCAGGCTTTCCTCAAATGACTAGTGATCCTTGGTTGTACAGTCATGTTTAAGAGCAAAGCGATTGAAATGCCAATAGGAACTTTTTGGGTATAGATGGGGCTTGCTGGCAGGCAGGTTCTACCTCGGGATGAGCTAAATGGAAACTGACCTTAATATGAAAGGTGCCTACCCTTAGTGCCTGAGTGAGGAAGACTCTATCTACTCTCAGGCACTCACATGTATGTGCGCACTACACCACATATCTTGGTTCTCAACAAAAATCAATGGCATTTCTTTAGAGACAACTCATCCACTTTTAAAAATTTATTTTTTTATTATTGATTTCAGAAAGGAAGGGAGAGAGAGAGAGAAACACCAAGGATGAGAGAGAATCATTGATTAGCTGCCTCCTGCACACCACACACTGGGGATCGAGCCCATAACCCAGGCTTGTGCTCTGACCGGGAATCGAACTGGGACCTCTTGGTTCATAGGTCGACGCTCAGCCACTAAACCACACTAGCTGCGCCATTCCATCCACTTTTTAAATTTTTGCCTGGAGAGACGCCTGGCCACAGGCAGTTTTGCGCTGGGCTGGTGTGGGGGAAGGAGAAGGTCAACTGGTCCATGCACAGGACTTGAATTTATACCCCTGTCTTTTGTTTTGTTTTGTTTCGTTAATCCTCATCCAAGGATATTTTTCCATTGATGTTTTAGAGCAGCGGTTCTCAGCCTGTGGGTCGCGACCCTTTGGGGGTCGAACGACCCTTTCACAGGGGTCGCCTAAGACCATTGGAAAACACATATATAATTACATATTGTTTTTGTGATTAATCACTATGCTTTAATTATGTTCAATGTGTAACAATGAAAATACATCCTGCATATCAGATATTTACATTACAATTCATAACAGTAGCAAAATTACAGTTATGAAGTAGCAACAAAAATAATTTTATGGTTGGGGCCACCACAACATGAGGAACTGTATTAAAGGTTCGCGGCATTAGGAAGGTTGAGAACCACTGTTTTAGAGAGATTGGAAGGGAGGGGAGAGAGACAATATTGGTTGCCTCCCACACCCACCCGGACTGGGGCCATGGGTCCCATGGAGTTTGCAACCAAGGTACATGCCCTTGACCTGAATTGAACCTGGGATCCTTCATTCCCCAGGCTAATCTCTATCTATTGAGCCAAACAGCCCAGGGCTACACCCATGTCTTGATCCCTGATTGCCCTCTCCACCTTCCATAATACCTGCCATATCTGGGCTGCTGGGACATCCTGCTCCCTCCTGTGCTACAGCCCCTCTCTCCTCAGGACTTCAGGGCTGTGTGTCCTCTTGCTTCCGTCCACTCTTCATTTTCTTTCTTTTTTTAAAATATATTTTTACTGATTTCAGAGAGGAAGGGAGAGGGAGAGAGAGATAGAAACATCAATGATAAGAGAGAATCATTGATCGGCTGCCTCTTGCACGCCCCACACTGGGGATCGAGCCTGCAACCCAGGCCATGTGCCCTGACTGGGAATCAAACCGTGACCTCCTGGTTCATTGATCAATGCTCAACCACTGAGCCATGCTGGCTGTGATGGGGAAAATGAGACATTTCTGGGGGCTAGCAGTCTGAATCTGTGCCATTAACCTAATGCACATTCTTATTAGCCTATAGTCTAGCCCAGGGGTGGGCAAACTTTTTGACTCGAGGGCCACAATGGGTTCTTAAACTGGACCGGAGGGCCGGAACAAAAGCATGGATGGAGTGTTTGTGTGAACTAATATAAATTCAAAGTAAACATCATTACATAAAAGGGTACGGTCTTTTTTTTTTATTTTTAGTTTTATTCATTTCAAATGGGCCGGATGCGGCCTGCGGGCCGTAGTTTGCCCACGGCTGGACTCTAGCCACTGCCCCTTTAATTGTCTGGTCCTGCAAGACCTGTTTACTCCCGTTCCAGAGAGGCCATAAGCTATCCCCAGATGGAGTTATCATTGCTGGTGCCAGGCCAGGCCTTTAGTTGTGGTCTCAAGGCCACAGCACATGGGACTCTTTAAGAACTTGCAAAGGGGACTGGAAAAACCCTTATTTGGGCGACAAAGAACTGGAAAAAGCATAAATAGGGAAAGCTTCCTCCATGATTTTTTGCTCAGAATTTGAAAGACATTTTTCTCTGGGCCCGTGCATAATAATAATAAAGTATAACTCCATTTCTCTAAGCGTCTTGGTTTTTCTCCAGTCTTATGTAACAGCTGGGTACACTCTCCATTTTCTAAAAATTGGTTGATACTTCTTATCTGTCGGTGCCCCCTCCACACATTTCCTCTTTGTTGTGGGTTTATTATCTGTATTTTCGTCTTGTACTGTTATTACCACGGAGTATTAGAAAGGAGAGGAGAGGAATGCTTGTGTTCGGTATGTAAGTAGGAATTCAGTTTACTATAAAAGAACATACAACCTTAGAAACCAAAATTTCATGTGGTTTTTCTTTTCAAAACAATCTTTTTTCCTGCTTCCTTGAAAATGGTGGTTCTCTTAAACATTGCACTGATGAAAGAAGCCAGTCACAAGGACCACATATTATATAATTCACTTATATGAAATATCTAACTAGGCCAATCCTTAGAGATAGAAAGTAGATTAGTGGTTCCCCAGGACTGGGAGTGATGGGGGAATTGGGGGCAACTGCTAATGGATGTGGGTTTCTTTTGGGGGTGATGAAAATATTCTAAAATTAATTGTGGTGATTGTTGCACACCTCTCTGAATAACTAAAAGCTGAATTGTACACTTTAAAACACTTTGAACAGGTAAGTTGTGTGAATTCTATTGCACTGAAGCTGCGAAAATTTGGTGGTCCTTTTTTCTTATTTAATATATTTTTTATTGATATTTTACAGAGAGGAAGGGAGAGGGATAGTAAGTTAGAAACATCAATGAGAGAGAAACATCGATCAGCTGCCTCGTGCACACCCCCCGCAGGGGATGTTCCCGCAACCAAGGTATATGCCCTTGACCGGAATCGAACCCGGGACCCTTCAGTCTGCAGGCCGACGCTCTATCCACTGAGCCAAACCAGCCAGGGCATGTGGTGGTCCTTTTTTATGTTTGATATTAGTAGGTACATTTTTCTGTCAATCTTAGGACCAAAGAAATTTTATTCAGTATTAGATATACAGGCAAATTGTGATGGTAAAGGTGGACCTTTTATTTAATAGGTTCAAAAATAAAGAAGCTGGTGTATCCACCTGGTTTCATGGGATTAGCTGCCTCGCTTTATTATCCACAACAAGCCATCGTATTTGTCCAGGTAAGTTAGACCCAGTAAGTTAAGCTGTCCCTTATTCTTGCTTATGTATGTATGGGTTTACTGCTTACTTTTATTTTATAGCTTTTATAACACCAGACTAAAGTTTATTTGCACATATAAATGAATAGAGCAAATTTAAATGTTCTCCACTATGTACTTCAGCTCTGGCTCTCCTTTCAATCATGTCATTATTCAGAAAATATACAGTAATTTGGATATTAATTAAAAAAACACCTTAAGATCCTTTTTTTGCATGTTGACATGGAAGTCTAGAGACTCAAATTTCAAAGTTGATATTTATGGGTCATTCTCAGTTCAGGTGTCTCAGGCCACAGCGCCCTCCTTGGAGTTGCAGGCCTGGGCCTGTGCTCGGCCCTTTGTGCCTTCTCCCTGATCCTGGAGCTGGCCTCGCTTCCCTTGCTAGGTACTTCAGGGAGTGCAGTCCCGTCTGCTGGGAGCACTGCTCTCAGGGCTCTCAGTTGGCTACTCCTTTCTCATTCTTCAGGCCTTAGCTTGATGGCATGCTGGCAAGTAGAATACAGTGGCAGGCAACATGGATGGCTACAGCTGATGTCTTAGTCAGCTCGAGCTGCCATAGCAAAACACTACAGACTGTGGGGCTTAAATATAGAAATTTATTTTCTCACAGTTATAGAGGATGGAAGACCAAGATCAAGGTGTCCTCAAGGTTGGTTTCTCTTGAGGCCTCGCACCTTGGCTTGCAGATGGCCGCCTTCTTGCTGTGTCTTAACGTGGCCTTTTCACTGTACACTGTAAACCTCATTTAACATTAAAAGGCCCTATCTCTAAATATAGTTATGTTGTGGGGTAGGACTTCAACATATGAATTTTTAGGGCACATAATTTAGTCCATAACAGCTGATCCCTGGACCAGCAATATCAGGATCACCAGGGAACTTGTTAGAATTGCAAATTCTTATGGAACCTGCAGGAATCATCCATGTGGACAAATGAAAAATGCCTTTTGTCTACAAATTGCAGTGATCCTACATAAACATGGAGGCTTCTGTCTGGCTTAGGACAGCTGGCTAAGTCTGAGGGTTCCCCTCCATACAACCTTTAAAACCAGCACTCCAGGTGCTGCTTAGTTTAATAACTTGCCAGTTAAGTGCACTGGATTATTAATGGACAACCAAGTGAGGTTTCTTCTATGTCCATCTTAACTGGTTTTTGAAAATAGTAGTCCACTGTGCTGATTGCTGCTAACAGGGTACAGTTAATGACCCAGAGTTGATGTGAAGAGTTTACACAAGTTAAATCATATTTGATTCTGCTGAAATGCACCTGAAGCTGACAATGAGAGAAGACAGAAGGTGTCACGTTGTGTCTCTCCCAACGTCACCATGGGTTTTGGATTGTTTGAGTATTTTTTCTTTTACTCTTTTCCTCCTTTATGACCTCTGCTGACATGGAAATACCCAGGGAACACTCCCCCGTCAGTGTAACTCTATAGACTGCTGCGGTTGGTGGTGTGGTTATCAAATTTTTGTGATAAACGCATTCTTTTTTTTAAACACATTTTTTTAAATTACTATTTTTTAAAAAGTATTTTTTTTATTGATTTTACAGAAAGGAAGGGAGAGGGAGAGAGAGAAATATCGATCAGTTGCCTTAACCAGGGATCGAACCTGCAACCTGGGCAAGTGGCCTGATTGGGAATTGAACCGGTGACCCTTTGGTGCACAGGATGATGCTCAACCAACTGAGCCACACCGGCCAGGGCAAGAGAAACTCATTCTTTGGATAAAAATAAATGAAATGTTTTTAAAGTTGGAGAAAGAAATGCAAATTCTCAGGCCCCAACCCAGACCTACTGACTCAGGCACTGAGAGTTAGGGCTAGCAATCTGTGTTTTAGTAAGCCACCAGGGGATTTTAATCTATATGAAGTTTGAGAACCACTGATACAAACTGGATTCCTTTAGGGCAGTGATGTCTGAACGTAGTGGAACTCTAGACATGGTGTTCCTTGGAAAATTGGCAAGAATGAAGCAACCTGTAGGTTTTGAGTTCCTGGACAGCTGATGGAGACAGGGATCAGTTGCCAGAACTTGCGTATCACATGGAGACTCGGTCCTAGGAGGAGGAGCAGTGCTGCCACCAGAAATGGGCACTGAGGGCTCTGAGCCAGGCTGACATGACACTGAGCTCCCTGGAGTCCTCGTGACAGGATTGAGTGTAGATTCCTGGATTGTGCTGCAGTTGTAGATGGGACCTTAGTGATTCCAGTTATGGGAAATTGATGGCTTTGGTGGAAAATTCCAGTAAGATCTCTCTAGCATGGTGTTGACATTTTTTATTGAAGCCCTGAAGGCAGACAGTTTATGTTCCTCTGTCTTTCAGCCCCAGCTCAGGAACACTCTGTCTGCTCTAGGTCATAAAAATAATCTAACATCATGTCAATCTGCTATGGTTTAAACAGTAAATGGATAGGGTGGGCCTGGCTGCTGATTGACAGGCACAGGTGGCTGCCCTCTGAGTAAAAGACTTTTAAAAAATCCTATATGCCATAGCATATGTTGAAAAATATATTTTGTGTTCACAAACAAGATAGTAGGATGCAAATCTGAGTTGTATTCTAATTTATTTTTAAAGTCAGTGGGAAGGAGTTTTGTCTTTTATTTTGTACCTAGGGTAAGTCAGAACAAAACAATTAACTTTATTTTCACTAGGTATAAAGCATTAGTGATCCGTTTGGGATGTTGAAAAGTTCCAGAAATGGATAGTGATGATGGTTGCATACATTGTGAATGTATTTAATGCCACCAAATTGTACACCTAAAATGGTTAAAATGGTAAATTTTATGTCATGCTTATTTTGCCTCAGTAAAACAAAACAAATATCAGTGATTGAAAAAGATTTTCTGATATCATTTTAGTGTCATTTGGTTCCTATTTCATAGTTTAAGTTTTGTGTGTTTTTCTATGAATAGTGTGACTTTGGACAAACCTCTTAATCTACATTCTGTTTTCTGTTCAGTAGTGTTTGGATGAAAGTACCATAGAAAACCCTTAAAGTGATGGTGAATGTTATTTTCCTCTCAGAAATTTATAACACCGGAAAGTGTCATATATGTGGTAAATGTTTGACATGTCTCCCTGTGGGTCCGAGAATCATATCATATATTTTAAGAATGGTTGGAGCACCTGGAAGAATATAACTTGTAAGAAATCAGCATGTTACAACTACCACTGGATTTACTAGCACTGTGTATAGAATAGAGATAATTCATGTGAATGTGCTTTGTAAACTAAAATGCTATATATGGATAAATTATTACAAAAATTAGGAGGAGAATAATAACTTTTCTGAAAATTTGAATTACTGTCATGTGGAAGAGTAATCAACATTCTTTGTCATAAACAGGATCAATGAGTGCAAATTACTGGAAGCTTTTTTTTTTTTTTTTAAGAAAGCTCAATAATTTTTTAAAAAATTTCCAACCATTAAATCTAGCCAAAGGTGGACAAGTGCCTTTTAGGTAGTGAACTCCCTGACCCCTAAATATTCTCTGACTCTGGGGCCTACATCTCAGGATGTTGTAGAAAGGATTTTGGATCAGGAGGCAAAATCCCTGTAGAAACTTGAAGACTTTATATTTTGAGGGACCTGGGAAGACTGAGAGCATCTTCATTGGGTTCTCCAGTTTTTTACCTAAGCCCCTAACATGAATGATTGATTTTCAGCTTGGCAGTGTGACTTTGATTGGCTGTTATTTGCTAGATGTGGTAGGTAGAAGCCTTCTTTCTGTGTCTGATTTTCAGGAATTTCCCATGTCAGCAGTGATCTACATTTTTTCCCCTTGAAATTATGAAAGTTTGCAATATACACCTAATTGATGGCAGATTATTTTAAATAACTACACACAGCAAAGTATTTTTCTTCTTATTCTATCCCTCTTACTATTTTTTATTTGCTCATGTTGCACAGTTTTAATGTGTATGTATGTTTCCAGACTTCTGTGGTGATCATATGCTTAAATATAGTTCTATTGGAAACAGGAAAGTGGAAAATTCTATTCCTTACCAGTCATGTACTGACTAGCAGTGGATCTTTTCTATTTTGTTTCAAGGTCAGTGGGGAGAAATTATATGACTGGGGTTTACGAGGATACATAGTTGTAGAAGATTTGTGGAAAGAGAACTTTCAAAAGGTAAGAAAGACCTTTTTCATTATCTTCCTTTTGGTTTAAATATGTGGTTTCTCTAGAGCAGGGGTGAGGAACATCTGGCCTGTGGGCCATATAAGGCCCGAGAAATCATTTGGTCTGGCCCTGCCAAGGCATTAGGGCTGAATAAATTAAAAGTTTGACCAAATATAGCAGGCTAATTTTTAAGTTGATAATTTTGTATGCCCATGAATGATGTTATAAATATCCAAATGGCTCTTGGCAGAAAAAAAGGTTCCCCACTCCTGCTCTAGGATTTTGTAAAATTCTTGATAACCCTGTTGTTCAATCTTGCCTTTTCTGTTTATTTATTTGACCTCTTACTCAGATTCTCTGGTGACCATTAGTGGAGAAGCAATAGAACTTCTATGCTTTTCCTTATTATCAGCAGGTCTGAATAGATGGTAACCATAAAATGCATTCCACAGCAGTCTTATACCATAATTGCCATTGTATTATATTAATAATTTGTTTAATTAGATTGTAGCATAGTATCTGAAAGTTTTATCAAAACTGGATAGGAAGGGAACATTTGTGCTGCTAGGCCAAAGACATATAACCAAGTCTCCTCTTGCTGTTTTACCTGCCATGAGCTCCTGTTCTTTCCTCTAGCAATACTGTATCTCAGCTACAGACAAGATTATCTATCTGGCTGATGGACACGTGGCAGAGGTTGCATAACTATAAGGAGGTGTCATCGTTTATCTTTTCTTACAGCCATATAGCTAATAGATGTTGCCCATGTTTACTGGAATTTTCTCTTTTCCTGATAAGAATGAGCACAGAACAAGACATCATGTCTCCTTCAGGCACTCAGAGGCACAGCTTGCTAAGGAAGAATTAGACTTCTTATATTAGCATAACTTCTGCATTGTAAATTGAAGGAAGTTAATTTTGACTACTATCATCTCAAATCACAATAAAAATATAAATATCTCAAAATTAAAAACCAGAATTTGGTAATTTGGAAGTAATGTTATAGAATAAATTTATAAGCCCTCCTCATTGTATACATAAATAATCTTCCAGTGAAATCTTTTTTTTGTATTTGAATGCTTTTTTAAAATTATTGACACTATTACAGATGTCTCCATCGCCGCCCCCCCCTTACCTACCTCTGCTCCCCGTCCTCTGGCCATCACCACTTCCAGTGAAATCTTGACAAATTTTTGTACTGGTTTCTAAAGGAATTAATCTCTATTGAGCCTATTTAAACCAGCTCTTGAGTAGGAAGTTCTGTATTAATATCAAATGCCCTTTGGTAATCCCTTTTAAAGACTCAACACTCATTGTTTTACTTTCATTTCTCTGACATTTTCTTTAGAAGCTTCCTTTCCTGTTTTAAAAATTCCTCAAGTCCACACTGATTTTTATATGGGAAAGAAAATACTAGATTGTCAGGGAAGCTATACACAGCCCTAGAAAGAAGTGTGAAAAGTGAAACTCAGCCTCAGTTGTGCGTGTTTACTGTGTGGTCAGGCCAACACATGCACACCAAAGCCAAGCGGGGTTCCCCTGGAGCCTCTCAATTGGAAATAGTTTTCTCTGTTCTGATTCAGCCCAGCGTACAAGCAATGGGACCATAATTGGATTGCAAGTCAAACAGGCCAGCATTTTATGATAATTGGAAAATGTTAGATTTTAAAGCTACTCAAATTTATATACTTGCTTTTGGGGAGTGAGATAGTAAGGGGAGTGTGATAGTAAAAATCTTTAATTAGCTCATGGTTGCTCTGCATTTCTTTCTCTTGTTTGTTTTTTTAAGCCCTTGCTCTCTTCCGAGTCATAGAGAACTCATGTTCTTCCATTTGTTTATTCTCAAAACATAATTTTCTTAACAGCTGTTTGTTCTCAATAAAAGGTAATAAAGTCAATGATGATCACCTAAACCTTTAGCGCAAGTTTTAAATGAAAAAATAGCACAAGGCTCTAATCCAAGATTTGATATACTTAGATTTCAGGAATTATTTGATAAAGAAATGCCTTTGTTTTTTATTGATTTCTCTGCCCTCCTCTTATTTGATTTTGTGAGTTTCAGTGTCTTTTTTTGTTTTATTAACAAGAACAAAGATTTAACCTACCCTGGAACAGAAATCTTTTAGGTCCCAGGAACTATCTCTTTGATGGAAACTGGGGGACACTTGCCTGGCTGGTGTGGCTCAGTGATTGAGTGTCGACCCATGAAACAGGTCACAGTTGGGTTCCCCGTTGGGGTGCATGCCTGGGTTGTGGGCTCGATCCCCAGTAGGGGGCATGCAGATGGCAGCTGATAGATGATGTTCCTCTCTTATCAATGTTTCTGTCTCTCTATCCCTCCCCCTTCCTCTCTCTCTAAAAGTCAATTAAAAAAATTTTATACAAAATTTAACAGCTGATAGCTCAATTTTGAAAATGAAAAATGTATTTTAATAAACACTGCATTTGTAATTATTCAAAGTGTATGTTTACATTTTGGGGGATACCATATATATATATATCAAAATATAAATAAATACATAGTTTATCTAGAGGGAGTCTTACTATATGTCATTTTTAACTTGTTTTGTTCCCTTAACATTATGTTCATTGGCTATACATGGCTGTAGCTGCTTCATTTTCACTGCTATGGAATATTTCTTTGATGGAAAATGCCCATGTTGATGGCTGGTTGGGTGGTTTTCATTGTATTGTTGTTGCACACAGACCTGTAAGCGTTTTTGTACCTGTGTCATGGTTTATTAAGAGTTTTATAAGGCTTGGATTCTTTTTTTTTTTTTTTTTAATTGATTTTTTACAGAGAGGAAGGGAGAGAGATAGAGAGTTAGAAACATCCATGAGAGAGAAACATCGATCAGCTGCCTCCTGCACATCTCCCACTGGGGATGTGCCCGCAACCCAGGCACATGCCCTTGACCGGAATCGAACCTGGGACCCCTCAGTCCGCAGGCCGACGCTCTAGCCACTGAGCCAAACCGGTTTCGGCAAGGCTTGGATTCTTGATTCATAGGGTCTGCACCTCAATTTTACTAGGTGGCTCCAAGTAGGTTTCTAAAGTGGTTTCCATTTCTGCCGGTTGGCTGACTTTAAAATAGTTTGTGGGTGTATGTGTGGTTTTACTTTATCCCCCAATTTTTATTTTGAAAAATTCTCAAAACTACAGAATAGTTGCAGGAAGAATACAATGACTATACCCCTCCCTTAGATTCACCAATTAATACTTTGCTACAGTCGCTTTATTTTCTTGACACATGCGCGGGTGCTCACACACACTTGAGCTTTTCTGAGCCATTTGAGAGTTAGTTGTAGATGTCATTGCACTTTCCACTCATATCTAATTCAGCACGTATTTCTAAAGAACATGGACATTGTCTCATATAATCACAATAGCATCACTGTATTCAGGAAAGTTAACATTTCGCTGTTTTACATGAACATTACCTAATATACAGTCCATATTCAGTTTTCTCCAGTTGTCCCAAGAATGTGCTTTCCTTCAACAACTTAATTTTTTCATAGCTGAGGGTATTACTATAAGGCAAACACCCTTAAACCCATCATCATTAGGACAAAAAACGAGAACTTTGCCAACCAGAAGCCCCTGCATGTAGTCCACCTCAATCTCAGTCCTCTTCCTCCACCCAAAAATACCTACCATTCTGACTTTTATACTAATAACTCTCTTCTCTTTTTTTTTAATATATTTTATTGATTTTTTACAGAGAGGAAGGGAGAGGGATAGAGAGTTAGAAACATCGATGAGAGAGAAACATTGATCAGCTGCTTCCTGCACACCTCCTACTGGGTATGTGCCCGCAACCAAGGTACATGCCCTTGACCGGAATCGAACCTGCAACCCTTGAGTCTGCAGGCTGACGCTCTATCCATTGAGCCAAACCGGTTAGGGCTTCTCTTTCTTTATGGCTCTTTCATCTAAGTATTTATCACTATCACTTTAGTCTTGCCTGTTATTATTTCTGGCTTCATATGTCTTTTACTATCCCAGTTTTATAAATGAGGGAACTGCATTTTGGAGAAGTTAATTAATTGATCAAAATAATTCAACTGGTGAGGGACTCAGAAATTTAGGGGGACTGCTGTACCTCAGAGGTTTGGCTGGAAATCCCTTTTCACATGGCAGAGCATACTAGTTAGGAAGAAATGTTTTGATTAAAACAAATATTTCAATTTTGCTAATATAAATTATCATTCATGCTTGTGGACAAACATGAATTTTCTACTATAGCCTAGCCAAGCTGACACATCAAACTAACCATCACTGTGTTGTTTAACTTATTCCTCTAGCCCTGTGTAGTCCAATATGGCAGCCACTGGCTGTTGAGTACTTGAACTGTAGCTAGTCTGAATTGAAGTGTGCTATAAGTTTAAATTCACACCAAATTTAGAAGACATGATAGAAATAAAAAGAATGTAAACAATCTCATTATTTTTATATTGATTATATGTTGAAATAATATTTTACATACGTTGAGTCAAATAAATGTATTGATTACTAAAAGAACAATGAAACCTAATATATATATTAAAATTAGATTATAAGGAGAATGATAGAGTTGTAAAATATTTTAAATAAAATTATTTCTCTGAACCCATGGGCATAGAAAATAGTGTGGTTAAGGCCTGGGGTGTGGGCTAGAAGGGGTCAATGGAGGAAAAAAAGGGAACACCTATAATACTGTCAACAATAAAGATTTTTAAAAATAATTATTTGTCTGAAAATGCAAAAAAGTTCATTTCTGGCTTATGCTAAATCACAAACTGTCTTTTGAAGTTAGAATGTTGTTTTTTTCTGAGATCATGGAGGTTTCTGCCAAGAGAGATCTGATTTGTAATAGGGTAGATATTTCTTTAGTGAGATATTTGACGGTCATGCTTTGTTATACTATAAATGATATGTAACCAAACAAGAAAATTTTCTTAGCAACAGAATTGTTTTCCTCAACCAGAAAAATGTTTATATATGCTCATTTCCTCTTTAAAAAATATTTTTTATTGATTTTAGAGAGAGAGGAAGGGAGAGGGAGAGAGACAGAAACGTCGATGAGAAACATTGATTGACTGCCTCCTGCACTGGGGATTGAGCCTGCAACCTGGGCATGTGCCCTGACCGGGATTTGAACCGGTGACCTCTTGGTGCATGGGTCAGTGCTCAGTCCACTGGGCCACACCAGCCAGGTGTGCTCATTTTCTTAATGTCCAAAAGATAAAAAAGCTTATGAAGTTAGCCTCTTAAATTTTTTTTTAAAAAATATATTTTATTGATTTTTTTACAGAGAGGAAGGGAGAGGGATAGACAGTTAGAAACATCGATGAGAGAGAAACATCAATCAGCTGCCTCCTGTACACCCCCTACTGGGAATGTGCCCGCAACCAAGGTACATGCCCTTGACTGGAATCGAACCTGGGACCCTTCAGTCCGCAGGCCGACGCTCTATCCACTGAGCCAAACCGGTTAGGGCATAGCCTCTTAAATTTTTGAGATTGAGATTCTGGCAAGTATAGATAGTAGAATATATAAGAATGTCACTAGAAGTACTTGCGAAGCATTGTGTTAAGGTAAATCAGACCTAAAGTATATTTAACTAGGTAGAGAACCACATAGTGTGTGTTTTTTTTTAAATCCTCACCAGAGGAAATATTTTTCCCCATTGATACTTAGAGAGAGTGGAAGGGAGGGAGGGGGAGAGAAAGAGAGAGAAACGACAATGTGAGAGAGACACATCAATTGGTTGCCTCCTGCACATACCCCGAGTGGGCCGGGATTGGGCCTGCAACCCAGGTACATGCCCTTGAACCAGAATCAAGCCCGGACCCTTTGGTCCATGGGCTGACACTCTAACCACTGAGAACACCGGCGAGGGTGAGAACCACATAGTGGGTTTTTTTTTAAATACATATTTTTATTGATTTCAGAGAGGAAGGGAGAGGGAGAGAGAGATAGAAACATCAATGATGAGAGAGAATCATTGAACGGCTGCCTCCTGCACGTCCTCCACTGGGGATGGAGCCCGCAACCCCGGCACGTGCCCTTGATTGGAATCGAACCTAGGACCCTCCAGTCCGTAGGCTGACGCCCTCTCCACTGAGCCAAGCCAGCTAGGGCCATAGTTTTTATGACACCCAATTGTTGGACATAGTTATCTCATCTCCATAAGTCTCTTTTTAATTTTTCTTGTTCTTTATTAATTACATACCCAAACTTATTTTATATACAAATGCTCGAATATGGTGTTTTAGGAGGTCCTAAGGTATTGTGCCCGCGTGAAGCTTATATATTAGTGAAAGATTCAAACATGAGTGTACGATTTACCCAAATCAGGAAGCTCTTGGGTGCTACGAATGTGAATAAAATGTTCTTATCTAAACCAAAGGGCAGTGGACCGGGGAAGCCTAGATCTATATTTCGGTGGGCAAAAACTGGGATTGATCAATCTACGTCAAGGGGTACATTTTGCAAAATTCTCATCACAGAAAAGAGCTTGGCAAATTGAAAGAGCAACAGCAAGAAGGCCTGTGGGAGTGTGTGTGCGTATGAGAGAGAGAGAGAGAGAGAGAGAGAGAGAGAGAGAGAGAGAGAGAGAGAGAGAGAGAGAGAGAGAATGGCTCTGGAGGAATAGAGTAAGGCACACAGGTAGTGAATGCTATAGAACTCTGTTTAGAGCAACAAGTAGACTGGGGTATTGTATAATGATCCATCAAACAATACATATGGCCTTGTTCCCCAGAACTTAATCATCAAGTGGATATGGTCTGTAGATATGGTTGGTGATCATGATATAATTTATCCTCCAAACTAGGGTACTTTAGAGCAGGGCTGAGGAATGTCCGGCCCGTAGGCCATATAAGGCCCATGAAATCATTCAGTCTGGCTCTGCCAAGGCATTAGGGTTTAATTAAATGTTCGACCAAGTATAGCGGCTAATTTTTAAGTTGGTAATTTTGTGTGGCCCACAAATGATATTATTAATATCCAAATGGCCCATGGGAGAAAAAAGGTTTCCACCCCTGTTGTAGAATGTGAAAGGGTACACTGTTATGCTGGGACAATGGGTATAAACCAGTATAACTTGGGCAAGCCAGGGTGTATGATCCCCATGCTTAGAGACCAGTTCTCAAACACTCCAGTAAGCCTGAAGTTGCCTAGAAACCATGCTCTGAAATTACAGGATTAGTCACATGTTTCTGCTTTCTCACTCCCTCCACCTCCTTCACCCATGGGTAGGAGAACCTGCACCAAGTCTAGACCACAGAATCACAGCCCCATTGCCCACTTAACTGCAGCCTAATGTTTTTCAGGTTGCCACCTCATGAGAGCTCAGATCCTTGCTGTACATCAGGCCTTACTAAAATTAAAGTCTTAAAAACATAGGAAAGATAGTAAGGCCTTAAACACTTAGCACATAAACTCCCACTAGAAACTTTCCTACATCACTTCTCATGGATGACATGACCTAATTATATGTTCCCAGATGGCGGCCAGGCAGAATGGGTGTGATCTGATTATAAGCTTTTTCAGAATAAACATGTTTTGTGACTTGGCCCCTATGGTGGATGATACACAGAGTGGCGTACCTACAGGACGCATCCCTGTAGTTGTAAACCTTGTTTAACAATGACTATGACATGAAGTAGTCCAGTAATCTTTTCACTGCTGGTTTTATTTTATTTTTTATAGAGTCAGCTGTTTGGCTGACTTAGTATAGTGAGTTTTGATGGAGTTTTATTTCCTGATCCCCTCTGTGCCTGTCACTCTTTACAGCAGGGCCCTCCTGGAGCCTTAGTAATTCCTTAAGTTTACTGAGAAATGGGTCACTTTGTATTATAATATTTAGTGTTTGATTCAACCAGATGCTGAAGACTGGCACTATTTCCTTTCAAACTGTACTAATATTCTTACTTTTTGTTTTACAAGCCAGGAAATGTGAAGAATTCATCTGGAAATAAGTAGAATACTCCAGGTTCAGCCCATTTTAATCAGGTAAAGAATAGGAAAATTCTGGTTATTTTAGTATTGTTAACACCAGCTAAAATGAGCTCTTTAATTAATTTAATCAATTCTATAAATGAATTATAGCAGTTTCAACTTTATGTGGAAACATAGGGTCAGGATGGTATTTCATTCCATCTTTAATTTCTGGGTTTAAGTGCCACGGCATATAATGGTGTTTGTTCCTGAGAGGTACCTGGGTTTTTTAGACACGATTTCAAACAATTGAAAAATGCCATTATTTCTTAAGTTTCTTTTTTCAGACTTCACTATAGTAGGTACAGTTGTACTCATCTAATACTCATTCATTAAACATTCGTTGAATGTATCACTGTTGTAGAGAAGCTCTAGATTTAATAGAGATATTATCATAATTGACAGGGAATTCATAGGTGTACTTAATTCCTTCTTTAAAGATTGAGTAACCTGAGGCTGGGGAAATTTAAGATGACGACAGATGAAGTCAGAAAAATCAGTTTGATTTCTTCTGGTCTTATGCTCAATTTACCATTTATTTTCATTCATTTAATATTTACTCATCAAGTACCTACTAAGTACAAAACACTAGTTATATTATTTTTGGATACATATTAAAAATTGTATGGTAGCACTTGGATTTCCAGGTAATTAGACCATATGGAATTTGGAAACAATCTAAATAATCAACTGTAAGAAAATGGCTTCTCATGGTATATCCATAAACAGGAATGTTATTATGTTTTAGTAACATTTAATTGCATGGTAATATGTACACAATTATTGTTAAGTGGAGAAAAAAGGAAAGTATGATACACTTTTAAAAAATTTTATTGATTCATTTTAGGGAGAGAGAGGAAGGAGGCAGGGAGGGAGCGAGGGAGGGAGAAAGAAAAACAATGATTTGTTGTTCCACTTATTTATACATTCATTGCTTCTTTTTTTCCCCCATTGTTTGCTTCTTGTATGTGCCCTGACTGGGATCAAACACACAACCTTGGTGTATTGGGACAATGCTCTAACCAACTGAGCTACCCGGCCAGGGTGATAGTATGATACATTTTTTGAGAGGATAAGGCCCAGGAAATACAGCAAAATATTTAAGTAGTTCTCCCTTATTCAGAACTTCGATTTCTGTGATTTTAGTTACTTGTGGTCAACTGTGGTCTGAAAATATTAAATGGAAAATTCCAGAAATAAACAACAGTGATCGAACTCCCGGTCTCCTGGTCAAACTCCTGAGGGGACACTTTGCATAGTAGCCTTCTCTCTCTCTCTCTCTCTCTCTCTCTCTCTCTCTCTCTCTCTCTCTCTCTCTCATAATATATATATTATGGCTGCAATTTAAAATTCATAAATACCCCAGGTTTGAGGTTTTTCTCTTTCAAGCTGTCTCCCTAAGTTTGGAGACCCAGAGAGTCATATAATCTTTGAATTTGAGAAGGGTCATCTGACCCAATTCCCAGCCTCAAGTGTGTGCTCCCACTTTTCACCTTCCCTGATAGAAAACTCACCCTACACACATGCCCAGTTGCAGGTTCCATCCCCAGTTGAGGGCCTGCAGGAGGCAGCCAATCAATGTTTCTCTCTCCTTGATGTTTCTCTCTCTCCCTCTCCCTTTCTCTCTCTCTCTCTCTCTCTCTCTCTCTCTCTCTCTCTCTCTCTCTCAAACCAATATATTATAATAATAATTTTATACTTACTACATGTTGAAATTATGGTGGTATTTTGGATATGTTGGGTTAAATAAAATCTATTATTAAAATAAAAAAAAGAAAACTCACCCCACAGAGCAGCCATTTTGCATAGTTCTGATTTTTAGGAAGCTGTTTCTTATACTCAGTGAAAATATGTCTCCTTATAAGTCCTACACAGTGGTCCTGATCCTGCGTTAGGGATCACAGGAAACAAAAGCAGATCTGCTTTCACATCACAGCCCTTCATATAGTAACCCCAAGTTAGCAGTTCTCAGATTTTGTTAAACAAACAAATTATCCAGGCAACTCACTAAAAGGCAGAGGCCTAGGCCCTACCCAGAATCAGCATCTCTAGCAAGTGGGGCCAAATGTGCATCCAATGTGCCTGTTAGAAGAGAGACTAGAGGGCGAGTAGTGAGGAAGACACACTTGTCCTCCAGAGACTTTACATCAGTGGTTCTCAACCTTCCTAATGCCGTGACCCTTTAATACAGTTCCTCATGTTGTGGTGACCCCCAACCATAAAATTATTTTCGTTGCTACTTCATAACTGTAATGTTGCTACTGTTATGAATTGTCATGTAAATATCTGATATGCAGGATGTATTTAGGCGACCTCTGTGAAAGGGTCCTTCGACCCCCAAAGGGGTCGCGACCCACAGGTTGAGAACCTCTGCTTTACATTGACTATGCTTATATTTCTCTACAGGGACAATGAGACATGGAATAAAGGAAACTATGTAAATATCCATTTCATTTTCCAAAAATATTCTGTGCCAGAGTTCAACTTATGGCATACACAACCTTGATTTCATTCTTTATCTTTTTAGGTCTTTATTGGAGATGTTTGTTTTTCTTTAATTCTCACCCGAGGATATTTTTCCATTGATTTTTAGAGAGAGTAAAAGGAAGGGGTGTGTGGGGGGGGGAGAAGAGGGAGAGAGAGAGAAAGAGAGAGAGAGGGAGGGAGAGAGGGAGGGAGAGAGACATCGATGTGAGAGAAACTGATCGACTAGTTGCCTCCCATATGTGCCCCAACCAGGGCCAGGGATCAAACCTACAACTGGGGTACATGTCCTTGACCAGGAATCGAACCCGAGACCCTTCAGTCCGAGTGTTAACACTCTAACCACTGAGCAAAACCGGCGTGGGCAAGATTTTTTTTAATTATACAAGTGATGCATATTTTTGTGAGGCGAATGTGATAACTACTACACTACGGAAACGCGCTAGTTATGCATATTTTTGTAAAAAAAATTTTTTTTTTTTAAATATATTTTATTGATCTTTTACAGAGAGGAAGGGAGAGAGATAGAGAGTAAGAAACATCGATGAGAGAGAAACATCGACCAGCCGCCTCCTGCACACCTCCTACTGGGGATGTGCCCGCAACCCAGGTACATGCCCTTGACCGGAATCGAACCCGGGACCTCTCAGTCCGCAGGCCGACGCTCTATCCACTGAGCCAAACCGGTTTCGGCTTGTAAAAAAATTTTTTAAAAAACTTGCCTTATATTCCTTTCCTAGAGGTAATTTCTGTTAATATTGTGGTATATCATTCTAGACCTTCTCCCTATCTATTAATATGCATCCATGTGTACTTTTGTTTTTTTGACAGAATAAGATCATATTCCTTGTATTGTTTCACAAGAACACTGAAAACTCCATGAAGGCACATATTGCAATTTTACTATCACACTTAAAGAAATTAACACTAATTCCTTAATATCATCCAAATAGTCAGACAATAAGCAGACTTCCCTGATTGTCTCATTAATAACTTTTTATACTTGGTTTGTTTGAATCAGGATCTAAACAAGATCAGCTCATTGTATTTGACTGATAGGTCTCTTAAGCCCCTTTTAAACTGTAATAGTTCCTTCTCCCTCATTTTTCCTTGCTATTTATTTGTTGAAAACCTTGGCTTATTTGTCCTTAGGATTTCCCATGTGGCTGTGGCTGAGTATATCCATTTAGTGTCATTTTGTTTATCTCTTGGTTCCTCTCTTCTGTGCATTTCCTATAAACTGATGGATCTGAAGGTTTAATCAGATTTAGGTTCAATTTTTTTTTTTGGTAAGAATATTTCATAGACCATGCAATGTTTAACTATATTGAATTAATGAACTTGCCTTTTTTCACTTAATATATTGTGTACATTTTCCTTGTTGGTACTTCTGAATCTATGTCACTCCTTTAGCTACATAATAATTTCCCAGTATGGACTACCATGATCTATTGAATCCTTACTAGTATAGATTGTTTCCAGTTTGTGGTTTTTAGCAGTTCAGTAAATCTCTTGAATTCTTAGAGAAGTCCAAAACAGATTAATGAACTGAGATAGAAAAGGTAAGCTAGTGGTTTACATGTTTAATTTAATAATTTTTGGTGTTATCTTAGAAGATCAAAGGAGTAGTCACTGGCCTCTAAAATATTTATAAACCTCTAATTGCTAAGTAGATTCTTTACATACTAGGAGGAAAAGCACTATAGAGAAGAGCCGGTTTACCTTTGGTGTGTCTGAATTGCTGTGTATCTCATTCCAGAAAAGAATGATGGGGTGATGCGAGGAAAGGTAGATGTCAGACTGACAGTAATATAATCATGTTCTCCAACAGATGAACAAAAATAGAGTTGTTTAGTTTTCAGAAAGGGTGAGGTGGGTGTTGCTGTGCCACTTAAGCATTTATTTATTTAATGTTTTAATTGATTTTTTAGGGAGAAAGAGAGAGAACATTAGTGTGAGAGGGAAACATTGATGTGTTGTCTCCCACACACACCTCAGGTGGGGATCGAACCCCAAACCTGGGGGTGTGCCCTGACGAGGAATGGAACCCACCACCTTTCCGTGCATGGGACGGCACTCAACTAATTGAGCCAGGACTAGGCATTTATTTATTATTTATAAATCCATCCATCTGTTTAATTAGCTCAGATACACAGCCAGTTGAAAATATGAATGTGGTATTGATGAAACACAAAACCTTTCTGGTATTTAGTGCCTGTCTATAAAATGAGAATAATTACGCTTTTCTCTTGCTCCTTATGAGCCTCATGGTCGTATAATGCTAATGGAAATATTTGTTACGGTTTCTCTGTGTAAACCTAAAGAATTTTCAAAGTGCAAATTGTAGCATTGTTTTTATTTATTCTGGCAAAGTTTACTTACGTTATTTTTCTTTTAGTTATAGGTAAACATTGGAAACTCCATACAATAAACCAGTGTTTCTACAGAAAAATGGAAGAGATGTCATTATTGAATGTAGTAAACAGGCTTTTTTCTTCAGGAAAAACTACACTAGGCCTCAGTGTTACCTTGGGTGATGTCATACTACAAAGGGACTAACCTGAAATCTTTTCACCTCCAGATAATGTACATGCCTTTGAACTTATTGTTCTCATGTTGCTATTTATGTACATAATTAAAATTCCAAGTTAAAAAAGTTGTCCTGCTTCCCCTCCCCCATATTATGGAGCGACTGTTCAAGTGTATCTAGTGCCATTGTGTGTATGTGGTGTATGTGTGGTGTGTCTCGAGTATACATTTATGTGTGTGTGTGTCTCTGAGTGTGCATGTATGTGCTGCGTATATGTGATGTGTGTCTGAGTATACATGTATGTGTGGGTATGTGTGGCATGTATGTGGATGTCTCTGAGTATATGTGTGTTTGGCTTGTATTGTGTTGTGTATCTCTGAATGTACATGTGTTTGTGTATGAGTGTGTATGTGAAAACTTTATTCTTTTAAAAAAATACATATTTTTTAAAAATATATTTTTATCGATTTCAGAGAGGAAGGGAGAGGGAGAGAGCGAAATTATCAGTTATGAGAGAGAATCTTGATCGGCTTCCTCCTGCACGCCCCACACTGGGGTTCGAGTCCACAACCCAGGCATGTGCCCTGACCAGGAATCAAACCGTGACCTCCTGGTTCATAGGTCAATGCTCAACCACTGAGCCACACCGGCTGGGCTAATTTACTCTTCTTAGAGCAGCATCAGCCAGCAATCTGCAGAGTCTGTGCCCCACAACAGAGTCGAGTCTAGAAGAGTGGCTCTGGAACCAAGAGACAATGCTTCAAGGGCCAGCACAAGGAACAAAACCTGTAAGTAACAGTCTGCCTGACTCTGGTTATAAGACATACAAAAGAAAATAGTGAGTGGGAACCCTTGTGTGCTGTTGCCTCCCAGCTTGTACAGAGCTTCCAGTTCTTCATTGCCAGTGGGAGATGCTTAATGAAGTAGGCTTTGTCCTCTGCCAGTGTGGGAATGCTATGTGCTTGTGTGTGTTGGTTCTCTGTATGTAGGCCTTGTATTCGCCTTTGTGGCCACTGAATGCCCAGCTCATTGAACTCCATGTTCCCAGTGCTGGTGAGAATAGCAGGAGCCTCTTTTGACTTGTCAGCCAGCCAGGAAGGATGGTGGGGAACAGTATGTGAAAGATTTGGAAATTAAAAGTCATTTTTGTATTCCTGTAGCATCAATTTAATTCCTAATTGTTGACCTTCAAGAATTGATAGGAGTTGGTAAAATAGTAATACGCAAATGGAACATGCACGTGTTAATATTAAATATATTTGAGCCCTAACCAGTTTTGCTCATTGGCTAGAGCGTCGGCCTGCGGACTGAAGGGTCTCGGGTTCGATTCCGGTCAAGGGCATGTACCTTGGTTGCGGGCACGTCCCCAGTAGGGAGTGTGTAGGAGGCAGCTGGTCGATGTTTCTCTCTCATCGATGTTTCTAACTCTCTATCCCTCTTCCTTCCTCTCTGTAAGAAATCAATAAAATATATTTAAAATATATATTTGATAGATTCAAAATGACAGGAATGGTGCCAGCATTGTTACTGGATTGATGAGCTGAGACACATTTGTCCCTATAATAATCCTGCTAGTGACCCAGAAGTCTTTTACTTCCTTTTATGCTGAAATACTTTTGTGTTACTGTAACAATCACCCTATATAATAAAAGCCTCATGCTAAGCGTTCGACCATTCGACCAGTCACTATGATGCACACTGACTACCAGGGGCAGACGCACCGATCAGTAGGTTAGCTTGCTACTGGGGTCCCGCTGATCGGGACTGGGCGAAACAGGCCGACAACGCCCTGGAGCCCTCCCACAGTCCCTCCCCGGCCCTGATCGTGCACCAGTCGGGTCACTCTGACTGGCCTGCGCCCTCTCGAAATCTGGGACCCCTCGGAGAATGTCGGAGAGCTGGTTTCGGCCCAGTCCCCACCGGGCAGGCCGAGGGGCCCTGCCGGTGCACAAATTTGGGCACCAGGCTTCTAGTTTCAATATAGTAAAGCTGTGCCTAAATTATATCTCATTATATTTTCTTTTTTTTTAAAATATATTTTATTGATTTTTTGCAGAGAGGAAGGGAGAGAGATAGTTAGAAACATCGATGAGAGAGAAACATCGATCAGCTGCCTCCTGCACATCTCCCACTGGGGATATGCCCGCAACCCAGGTACATGCCCTTGACCGGAATCGAACCCGGGACCTTTCAATCCACAGGCCGACGCTCTATCCACTGAGCCAAACCGGTTTCGGCTATATTTTCTTATTATATCTCATTATATTATTATTTCAGGCCTTTCCCATTGACTTGTCTTCCTATGTCACCTCCCAAAAGTAGAGATTCCACAAGTTTCCTTGTTCTTGAGGTTGCTTGGTCTAAAGAAGATGAAGAAATGGCCCACATCATAGCATGCTCTAGAGATCATTAATCAAAAGGTATCTGAGCCCTAGCCAGTTTGGCTCAGTGGATAGAGTGTCGGCCCACGGGCTGAAGGGTCCTGGATTCGATTCCAGTCAAGGGCACATACCTTGGTTGGCGGTTCCCCAGGACTGGCCCTGGTTGGGGTGCATGCAGGAGGCAACCAAACTATGTGTCTCACTCACAGTGATGTTTCTCTCTGTCTCTCCCTCTCCCTTCGACTCTCTCTAAAAATCAATGGAAAATATCCTCAGGTGAGGATTAACAACAACAACAAAAAGTATTTGAGTGTCTCCTAACTGTAAGGTATTACTTCCCCCTTTTAACTGTTCATTCAATATTAAAAAATTGCCTTAAAACCTCTTAACTCCTCCGAGGGGGATGTAGAGGTGGGGGAGGGAGGGTGGTCACAGAGCTGGCTCCTAGTGGTACCTGGCCCTTACCTAGGACAGCAGGAGGCTCATTCCCAGCCAGTATAACTCAGTTACCCTTTTTACTATGATCTTTCCCTTTTGTGGTTTTTATGTCCAGTGCTGCCTTCTTTTTATATTTAACACTTTTTGCATGCCTTCCAGGAACACCCAACTGTAGGGAATATAAGATTTGCAAATCATAGTATCTTGCATTTCTCCAGCTCCTTATACTTTCAGAGCGCTGTTTTATTTCTTTTCTTCCTTGGTTTATTCCTGACTTCAGTATACTTGTACTGTTTTTCTCTGTCCTGCAGGGATACTCTACTTAGTGTTTATACTTTTTATTCTGTTTCCTCTGTCCATTTCTCCTTATAACAAAACTATGAACTTCAATCCAATTTATGTGTAACTTAGTCAACATAGTTCTATCTGAATAACTTTAGGGAATTTAGAAGGAACATTCTCTACCAAACAGTAATTTTAGCTCACCTAAGGAGAAAAATGTGGTGTAGTCTGTTCTGTGATAATGTGGTAATTGGAGTCCTAAGAAAAATTACTTCGTTGGAAATCAGGATTTAAAGGCAGTTGCTTCAGTGGGAACAAAAGGGAGTAGGGGCAGTAAAGAATATCTTCATGCCTGGCCGGTGTGGCTCAACGGTTGAGCATGGACTCATGAACCGAGAGGTCCCGATTTGATTCCCGGTCAGGGTACATGCTCCGGTTATGCGCGTGGTCCCCAGTGGGGGGGGGGGGGTGTGTGTGCAGGAGGCAGCCGGTCGATGTGTCTCTTCATCGATGTTTCTCTCTATCCTTCTCCCTTCCTCTATCTCTAAAATAAATAAAAACATATGTTTTAAAAAAAAGAATGTCTTCATCAATGTTGTCACTGGTGGCACCTCTTGGGACAAAATCAAAACAGTAGTAGTAGGGCCCTAGCTGGTTTGGCTCAGTGGATAGAGCGTCAGCCTATGGACTGAAGGGTCCCAGGTTCGATTCCGGTCAAGGGCATATGCCTGGGTTGCGGGCTTGATCCCCAATAGGGAGTGTGCAGGAGGCAGCCAATCAATGATTCTCTCATCATTGATGTTTCCATCTCTCCCTGTCTTTTCCTCTCTGAAATCAATAAAAATATATTAAAAAAAAACAGTGGTAGGGTCAGCACTTTTTGTCCTAAGTGCTAGATTCCAGCCCAGTAGCACATCCCTAATGGATCAGTGACATATCCAGGTGGCCTAGAGAAAATTCAGTTGAGGCAAAATGCCTGGATTCACATATACAGATGGAAAAATGTGGCTTGTTTGTGGTTTACTACCAAATCAATGGCAGTTAGAATTAGGCCAGGTAGTGAGTATTACTACTGATTTGTATTAGTTTTAAAGATAAAATTCAGAATCTTTGAATTCAGTGGGAAAAGAGACAGAGGCTCTGTTCTCTTAGTTGTCTGTTCTGTTTTAATGAATCCACTCATCTTTTGGGGAAGGCTTGATAGTTTGAGAAACAGTTTTCTTTGTGACTAATAGTATCCATGCTTATTATGTGAGCTGAATGATTTATCCCGAATGTAAAAGTTTTCACTTTTTAATTTATCACACCCACCCAGCCTAATACAGACACCACTGACAGGGAGACCAACTATATATTTGTGGGACTAAACTCTCACCCAAGGCTTAATTTTAATTAAGGTAAATACTTGAGTTAATGGTTCCATTCACCACTGGTTGAAAGAAACTTGCTTGAGGTTTTGGTTTTTACCCTGTACACCTCCTGTCTGATGTTTTGTTTCCCTTCTGATAGGTTCAGATTTCAGGTCAGTAATTAGCCAGCTCATAGTTCTAAAGGTACAATTAGGTCAAACTCCAGACGTGACCGAAGTTCAAGCTTATTTATGTTTATGAAATGATAGCCAAGGAAATTTCTGGATGGAGAAAATGCTTGTTTTCATAAGGCAGGCATTTCACTATTTCACGGTTTGTTTGCTTAGCAGTGCTGAACAGATTTGGAAATTAAAAGTCATTTTTAGTTTCTGTATTTCACATGTCTCTTCTAAATCATAAGAAAGTGGCCTAAGTGTCAGAATATATACATTATTTTCTCCTGAAACCCCAGGAAGACTAGAGGAAGGGAATTTTGAAGATGACATTAGCATACAAGGAAAGAATGGGAAGAGGGAGAAAATGGGATTTTATTTTTTGCAACAGAATTAGTGATAACTGACTTTTCTTTAAAAAGTTGTTGACACTATTACAGATGTTTCCCATTTTCCCTTCCCTTTTATCCACCTCCACCCAGCCCCAACCCTCCCCCCTCTGGTCA